ATTTATGGTTAATGTAATTGAATAAACAAAAGGTGTACAAATGAAACAACAGGTAACCTAACAAGTAAATACCTAAATAAATAAGTGACAAATGACAGAGATGAGTCTACTTTGTCACAAACACTGTTACTGCTGAGAACCATGTGCTGAGGCGACTAACTGTTGTCAGTTTATAATTAAATTACATTAAATATGTGAAGGCGACTTGCAACATTGCCCAAATGCCAGCTGTGACCTTCCACATCCATGGACAGGAATTCACCCTCCCCGCATCCATCAGGTGTGTTTGTTTTCCCTGCCAGACTTTGTATTTTCTCACCTCACTCCGCTTCACCTCCATCTGAAATTCTTGTCCAGAATGCCTCCCACAGACTCAACACTATGGCTGCCTTTCTGGCTTTCTCAATGGAAGTAAATACTGGGTGATGTCTTCATCAGACAGTACTATTATTCAGCAGAGCCAAGATTATGTCTGGCCATGGGTAAATATTCAGCCTGAAGTCACCTTGCCCAAAGAGTCTTGCAACAATCCTGTATACATCTTAGTGGGATAGTAGGATTCCAACATGTATGGTTTTCAGTGCTACTGTAACAACTCAAATATTTTTCTTGTCCTGTAAATTATTAAAATTCCTTAAATCCAATAAAAAGTTAAATCAACTAAACCCATTTATGTCAATGCTAAACTACATGGAGCATGAAGCAGATTTTTTTCTCCTCACGTCAATAAGCGATTCTGCTCCTCTTCTGCAACATTGATGTAAAAAAGCACCTGCAGGGAGGGGCTTTTCTCCTGCTGCCTGTGTGTGTGTGTGTGTGTCTTTGTCGGATCTGTGAGTTCCAGGCATGACACATATAGCTTTATCAAACAACTTAACCAGGGTTTAAGATCAAATTAAATTACACTTTTTTCATTTTCCTTCATGTGGCCCTAAAAACACAATTATGGGATAATGGTAAATGCCAAAACATAGTGTTGAAAGCAGAAGAAGTAGAGAAGAGCCATAAAGTCAGCGAGCTGAATGCCTAATGTCAGTTACACAGAAGGAATGTTGCTAATATTATTAAACATTTGGCACCATAAGCTGCTGCTCACACCAAACCGAGTAAGACTGTAGCATTAAATCCTCTGATTATATTGGTGTGTTTTATTGCTTATGAAGTCAATTTGTCATTTGTAAGATAATGAATGTTAATTCTTAATTAGTTAAGTTCATTCTTGACTTTTTGGGAACAGTATATATGCAACAAAATAACCAAGGTCTAAGGACCATTCCAGCTCTCAAAGGTTTCAACCTCATCTTATGGCTTTAATTCAGTGACAGGTGCCTCTGGTGGCCACCATTGAGTAAGCAATGTCCATCCTGGTCTTAAATTAGTCTTTTACAATTAACTCTAATAGTCATCCCTAATGGGGTTTGTCCTGTGTTTAGAAAGTATTTCTGAGATTCTGATTCTGTTTGTTTTCAGTGAATGATTTACAATTGAAATTGCAAAGGTTCTCAGCGTCAACCCATGGTGACATAAATACAACCATATTTTTTATTACAGACCTGTCTCTCTTATTTATTTGTTTCTAAAACACTGGAGCACCAGAGCAACCTTCTAGACGCCCACCAGTCTGGTTTCAATTCTTTTAACTATTTCTTTATCTCTTAATGTAGCACTTGAAGCAGTTCAGCAGATGTGATGACGTTGTTAGCCTGATTCTTGCAATTTTTGGGTTGCACAATCCACATGATTGAATGCACTCATTATAAGTTGCTTTGGATAAAAGTGTCAGCTATGCAATGTAATGCGCTTAAAATTGTGTGATAGTACTTCAATTATCATGATTTGACCACCAGTTACAAGCATTTAAAACACAGCGCAATGTTGAACATGCTAACAACAGAATTTACCCTTTTGCCAAAATGTGACAAAAATGTCAGATAACCAAAATCTGTATTGATTTAGTGACTAAATCTTGAATTTGGTCCACAACTGAAGGTAACAAGCATGTCAAGTTTCTTTGCTCACTTTATTTACAGGTCTCATGTTTCTGGTATGAGGAAGTATCACCATCACTACATAGCACCTTCACCAAACATTTATACAGTGTCAATTCTATGATTAGATCTCCTCATACAGTGTACTTCCTGGTAAGAAAAACCTGTTAAACCAGCAAAAGCACATACACTTTGCTCTTTTACCCCGGTGCTAGTAAGTTGGTAACTTGAATACTGAGTGTCTTGAAGAGTACCATAAGACTAATCAGGTTTAAGACAAAATCAGTTGTTTGTACACTTTGCACTGTCACATCTGAGGTAATAAAGAACTCAAGGAAGAAGCAAGGAATCACCTTGGCAGGGTAAGTGCTATTCCTTTAAAATGTTGACCTTCATATCTGTTTTTTTGTTACAAACTACTGGCTTAGTAGGAAATTGAGGCTTGACTTTGAGTTGTTTTATGTGGAATTTTAGATGCCAATGTCTGCAGCAGAAGTCAAAAGCTACTGTGACTGGATGTCGCAACTACCAGCTGATCGTCACAGCGTTCCTCTTTCTGATCTAGCCATACCAGGTATGAAGCTGAAATAATGCAGCCTAACTGCTTACTTTGCTGCATTACTGCATTGAACTAAAACAATGGATGTATTATTAAAGCTGGATACTGGACCCATAGATGGTATCTATTCAGTCCAATAAGAATTGCTCAGCTTTGGCCACCCTAAAACAAATCATGGCAGAAAGAGTCATAATTGACCTTGTTTGCATTTCAAGGTGTCCTGTCCTGTTTTACAGGCATCTGTTTTACAATGGTCATAATGGTGGGGAAAATGGTTTTTGGGTCTCAGAGAATTTTTTCACTGCAATAGTGGCCACTGGGCAAAATTAGAAGCAAGGCTGAGGCTTGTTTTTAGATAATTTATTTAGTTCAAGAGTGAGGAAAATTTTATCGCCTCATAAAGTACAGTAACAACTATCCTTTTATCTGAATGGGACTAAAAGTCTGCAGACATGCTATCAAAACAGTAAAATTGCTATGACACTGTGTGTGTGTGTGTGTGTGTGTGTGTTTGGTAATTCCCAGGTAGCCACGACTCAATGAGTTATGACTTGGACATCAACTCCTCTATAATAGAGCCTGATAGACTTAAAAAATTCAGCAAGATTTGTTGTGCACGTAAAATAGTGCGCAAATGGGCAATGACTCAGGTAAATGGTGTTCAAAACCTCAGTCAGTATGCACTTGTACATTCAAATAAATAGAGAGTGTATGTCTGACTGTTGTAGTGGCTTGTAATGCAGGAGGAGACCATTACAAAGCAACTGAATGCAGGAGTTCGCTACTTTGACCTGAGGATTGCTCGCAAGCCAAATGACCCCAACCCCACAAGGCTTTACTTTTACCATGGGCTGTGCACACGCACTGATGTGGAGGTAAGAACATTGCCACTTTTCATTATTTATACAACAATTAATATTTAGAAGTACATTTTGTCCTGTCTACACAGTAAACTGTCAAAATAAAGTCTGAAAAGGGTGTCCTGGTAGCTCACCTGGTGGAGCGTGCCCCATGTATTGAGTCCTGGGGATTTTTTCCCAGTGCTATACAATAACAGTTCTGCAATAATTGCCTAAAAATGACTACTTTGATGCTTTGACACGTATCCCCAAACTGCTCCTGGAAAGTTCACTTTTTTTCGACCTCTGTGTTTCTAAAACCCTACCTACAGCTATGTTGGCGAGGTACTCCTAAAAGGAAACAGCACTGAAAATGTCCATGTTAAAATAGATATAAAAACACCAAAAGAATTAGGGTTAGAGTTATGTTGTGTTTAGGATTAGGCTTAAGGTGAATTAGGGTGCTGGTACCTTTAAGGTTCCAGTTCAGATACTGCTTGTAACCAATTACAAAGAAATTCACAGGCTCTATATGATATTGTGCATATCCACAAAAGGTCAAATCCAGTCAGAATAACTGAATAACTACTGTATTACTATTGGTTTGTATGGGCTGTTTTTGATATTTGAACAATCCAAAACAATCCAATGATCCACTCAAATGAATATGTTTTTCTTTTAAATAAGTAAAAGAGGTACTGTATTAAGAACTACTATTCTGCCATTGTGATCAGACTGTTCTCAAGGACATAAATGACTGGGCAGAGAGGCACCCCAAAGAGATCCTCATCCTCGCTTTATCCCACTTCAAAGGGTTCGACAAAAGCACTGAGAAGCAGCTCCACCCCCATCTTATCAAATTCATCAAGACCTTGTTCGGAGCCAAACTCATCCCTAAAGAGGTACAGTATGCTGAATTTTACCATTAAGATCAAGAAGTCAAATATATCAAAGTCTACTGTAAGCTACTATGGCTGTCAAATAAAAACAACTTGAGCTTATACCACCCTCAAAACCAATGCTTTCTATGTATCACAGCAGCCCATCCCTACCCTGAAGAGCTGCTGGGACAAAGGCAGAAATGTCATAGTTTCGTATGATTATGCAGCAATTCAGGATCCTGAGCTCTGGCGTAAAATATTGTATTACTATGGCAATAATATGAACCCCACAGAAGTTGAATCAAAACTTCAAGAGGATTTGAAAAATGGAAAACCTTATGGTGAGTTTTCTCTGCTCCTGCAGCTTGATCTTAACACAGACCAGGGCTGGTCATTCATGCATAATCTCCATCTCCTGCATGATGATTAAAGTGCAACCCATTTAGAAAATGATATTCTCTTCTATGAATTGGTGGCTGAGCTTTATCCCCCTCTCATGACCTACAGGTTTCTTTGTGTGTGGCTTGAACCTGACACTGCCAGAAGATGCCAGGATACTCAAGTACGTCCTTCGCCTTTGTGACAACTTTCTCAACGTCGTACGGAGGAGCCTGCCGAGACTGCTGCAGTGGGTCACAGTGCAAGCTGGCAAAATACCCATGAACATTGTCGCCTCAGACCTGGCGACTCATGGCGACTTTGTCCCAACGGTTGTCAAGCTCAACATTTAGAAACGTGTGTGAATTAAGCAAAGAGGAAACAGTAATGGAGTTTTTTTTGTCATGTCATAGCAGGAAACTCACATGTGTATTAATTATAGCTGCACTCTACATGGGGAAGAACCTGCTGTTACTGCGGCACTTGAACTGAGCTGTTACTGTTATTAAGCCCACCTGTGTTGTGCTTTGACGAGTCAGAATTGTCTTTTCGCTCTTTTTTTTCCCTTTACAACACATTCACCCTCTTGCTCTCTCAATGACCTATGGTGTATGATTAGAAGAACCAACATACACTGTATTTGTTCTGAGTTTACCTCGCCTGTTGGCGCGCCATCGTGTGTCAATTTATGGTATTGCAATAAAGTGTTCCCCCTCATGCCCTGGAAGTTTTGGCTTCTCTGTTACCAAAAAAGTAGCTAACGTTAGCTTGCTAGAGTAACTAAGCAACACACTTGGTGGATTAGGATGTTAAGACTAGCATGGCGTCAGTCGACGTCCAAAAATAGCCGCGTGGAGCCTGCACGCATTTTAACTGCAGCTTTTTTGAGCGCCGACAGCCAACATCAACACTCGGGGGGTAACGTGAGGTGGTTAAGACAAGTTCCCCACCCACCAAGCGACAGGTCACCGCTCCTGCACCATCCCCAGCCGGCCTACTACCTCAGGTAAAGCCACCACGGCTAATGGGTTGCTAACGCTAACGCAAGATGTGGCAGTGAACATGCCTGGCGAAGATAATTCATGGCACGTCAAATGTTGATAGGTGCTGTGTTTCTTGCCACACGCTAGTTGCCGTGACCAGTGGTGACGTGGTTTTGGATGCATAGAGGACTTGAGCGAAACTCCATTACGAAAGCATACAAATAAATATGTCCCCAGCTTATCTGTTGCCAGGAGACATGCCCGTGTGAGTCAAGACATTTAAAGAAGGTCCACATGCCTCGTATTTTAATTCGGTAACACTACATAAAGCACCAAGCAGCACTTTTATTTAATAATTTGTCAGGTTTTTCTAGCTAGCTGGTTTGTCTGGTAGCTGCACGACCTCCCTCTGCTAACGGTTAAATCAAACTAAGTGCCCTTGGGTTACATGTAAACAATCACATAAAAGCTAGATATGTGTCCAAGTGCCATAGCTATTTCGGCCGAATTTTAATGAATAGTCTAATATATCGGAAATTGTGTTCAGTCAGGTTTCCCGAAGCATTAACCTTTGCTTATCAGCAAAGTCACATTAAATTTGCGAATATTCAAATGGGAGTCGACATGACTGTTGGCTGACCGCTACAGTCTCAGTGACAGCTACTGCAGCTACTGCAGCTGTAGCAGGGAGCTGCTAACGAGCTTATTCAGTGTCAGCTAGCTGTCAGCGTGATAACCTTGCGTTTTAATATTATGCATGCTGGTTAAAACAGCTGAAGGCGGACAAATGTCGTAAAGTTAACAGTTAGCTTGGCTCCACGTTGTCAAAACAAGGTTTGTCTTTTAATTAGTTAACATTACATCGACAGTAAATGTTGCCCTTTTCTGTATTGGTCAGGCTTGACTTCTCATGGCAGAAAAATCTCAGCTGTGCTAATGACTAATAACTGGAACACCTTAATGGAATACACTCGTTTCTAACATAATCAATTGCAATGCAGAGGTATTAAAGCACCAAGATATCAAATTAAAAAATGCTCCTTTCTTAATTTTCTGCTGTATGGGATATATTTGGAGTAACTAAGGGCGCACAAAATATACCTTTTTATACGATGTCTGACTTTTGTAGACGTCTTTACATTGCTGCCAACAAACAGCAACTAAAATTGTAAATATATTTGTGTGCCCAGTTCGTCTGTTTTTATGAGCATGGCGTCAGGGGGTGAAGGGCCATCATCTTCCCCTCACACACACACCAACAGGTTAGCCAAGGAGAGGTCGCCCTACCTGCTGCAGCATGCACACAACCCTGTGGACTGGTGAGTGCCTTTAAACAGATAGGCACACATTCCTAAAAGCTGATATCATGTCATATGTAAACTAATATCATGTTTGTTTCAGGTATCCATGGGGACAGGAGGCTTTTGACAAAGCGAAGAATGAAGACAAACCGATCTTTTTATCAGGTAAGAAGCCTCTCTCGTGTGCTTGTACTGGAAGGTTTTCTGTAAACCTCTCTCTCTCTCTCTTTATTTCTCTCTGTCTCTCTCTCTGTCTCTCTCTGTCCATCAGTGGGATACTCAACATGCCATTGGTGCCATGTTATGGAGAGGGAGTCTTTTGAAGATGAGGAAATTGGCAAAATCCTTAGTGACAACTTTGTGTGCATCAAATTAGACCGAGAAGAGAGACCTGATGTGGACAAGGTCTACATGACCTTTGTACAGGTGTGTGTGTGTGTGTGTGTGTGTGTGTGTGTGTGTGTGCACATGTGTGCTTACATTTAGGTTTTCTCACGAAGGCCTCTTATTTGTCACTGCTAATACTCTCATGACTGTTGGTTGATGTCCACAGGCAACAAGTGGAGGAGGAGGTTGGCCCATGAGTGTGTGGTTGACCCCTGAACTTCGACCTTTCATTGGAGGCACATACTTCCCTCCCAGAGACCATGCAAGAAGACCTGGACTCAAAACAGTGCTCACCAGAATCATGGAACAGGTAGAACAGGACTTTACTTTAACAGTTGTAGAAAGGTTTTTTTTGTCTTTTCAATTCAGTGTATGGATGCAGGTGAGCTAACGTGATTATGGTGCCACCTAAAAAGAGAAAAATCTGTAATGGGGATGGAAAACCAAATATATTAACCTTTTTTTGCCAAAACTCCAGAGCCAAGCAATGAAGCCATACCAGGTGGAATTTAAGTTTCACTCTCATTTGAGGAGAGTGGGAAACAAACTGTTGAAAGCTGGCAGCTCATTAAGTGAATGATGATCATAAGAAATCATAAACAAAGACCGCCAGCCAACAGCTGCAAAGTTCCTCCACTCAAGTCAACTCAGTGTATTATGAAGCAGCTCATTTCAAAAGAATTAAAGAAATGAATGTGAACTATTTCACATCTGGGACTGTGATCTTCAAAATTGTAAACTAAGAACATGAAGTAGTTCATTTTAATCTGTGTGAACTGAACTTTGAGCTAACTCTTTTGAAGTGTCAACTTGCACAACACTGGTTTGAACTGTGAATGTGATTTCTCCACCATGAACAGGGTACTGGGCTACAACTCCCAACTCATGATTGCTTTTGATAGCAATATAAATGTATCCTTGCATTTAAGAATTTAATATAGGAACAGGCTGCAAGGACAAGGAGGATACCGTTCAGCATGTATAATGTACACTGTGTGCAGCTTTGTTTTAAGTCTTGACTATACAGAGTGAACAAAAATCTGAACACAAATACAAATTGCAGACTACTGAAGCTGACCGTGTCAATATGCCACCTTGCACGCCTTGTTTTTTAGTTTTTTGGTTGTGGGCCTGAAATAAAATATTGGGGAAACACTACTTTATCATCCCTACATATTACAAGCATGACTTAATGATCCTCAGTGGCAGAATAACCGTCCTGCTTTGGAGTCCAGTGGAGAGAGGATCCTTGAAGCACTAAAGAAAGGCACAGCCGTCGCTGCAAACCCAGGAGAGAGTCCTCCACTGGCCCCAGATGTTGCTAATCGCTGCTTCCAGCAGTTGGCGCATTCCTACGAGGAGGAGTATGGTGGCTTTAGAGACGCTCCCAAGTTCCCCACACCAGGTAGACTCAGCAAGAACCACAGTGGACATATCTTTCTCTCTCTTTATTTAACTCTCTGACTTTTAATATTTCTCTTCCTCCCTCCGTAGTGAATCTGATGTTCCTCATGTCTTACTGGTCTGTGAACCGCTCCACCTCAGAGGGCGTCGAGGCTCTTCAGATGGCGCTGCACACACTCCGCATGATGGCGCTGGGAGGCATCCACGACCACGTAGCACAGGTTCATACGTGTTTGAATTGAAAAGCAGTTTCAAAATGCCATTTGGGCTCTGGACAGTTAATATGGGCATTTTTCAATGCAGTGACTAAATAAATTAATAATGAAATATTATTATATAAATAATGAAAATTGTCACCAGATTAGGTAATAATGAAAATATTTGCTATTTGCAAGCTTAGTTTGTTTCTGTACAGACATAAACAGATGTACTGTGTGTCTCTTTATATGAAGATATTGATGATTTGTGCCCTTTCAGGTCTGTGCTGCCAGTGCAGTGTAGTATTGGTATATAACAGATCATTTTAAGTGAATATTAGCCTCAGAAAGTACATACTGTATCTCTCTTTATGTCTCTGTTCTGCAGGGTTTTCATCGTTACTCTACAGATTCCTCCTGGCATGTTCCTCACTTTGAAAAGATGTTGTACGACCAGGCTCAGCTGGCTGTAGCCTATATAACTGCATCCCAGGTGTGTATCTCTGTTTTTCTTTGTGTGTCTGACAATGTGTCTCTCTTGTCCAAGTAATTTATCCCCATATGGAAAAATCATCCATGTGAGACTTGGGAAAAACATATATTTTGCTTAATAAAAACACACGACAGTGAAGGCGCTAAACCACTCATCACAGTTGGGTAAGTTGTAAGGCCTGTTATTGTTTTCAGTTTGTTTTCTCATAAGTGTGTTCTGGGCTGGCCTGTTTTTTACAGAGACGGAGAGAAAAAAGTTAATTAGGACACAAGGATGCAGGCAAACTCAAACACACATACTCGCGCATATAAATCATACGGCGGTATGTTTAAGGTTATGTTATGGTTGAATCCCGATTCTAAGCAGGTGTGTGTGCTATGTGTTTCTGCTTTTCCAGGTATCAGGTGAGCAACTCTTTGCAGATGTGGCTAAGGACATACTGCTGTACGTCACCAGAGACCTGAGTGACAAGGTAAATCATCTGCAGCATGTTAGGACGTGCATATGTTTGTTACTGGTTTTATGGGGACCAGATATCCTCACTGGGTAACCAGCGTGAAAAAAGATACAAAAGAGAAGTTTATTTAGCACATGCTTTGGGTTATGGTGTAAGTTAAGGCTA